AAATAGACATCAGTATAAAATTATAGCTATGATAAACAAGCATAGAAGACCTTTGCTCATGCATGTCCCTCTGCTTGCAGGGCTTGTCCTCCCTAAGTAGCCACATGATTTAATTGTTCTGCTCATATGTCATCATCTAAACAGACACCTTCCTAGGCCATTGTATCTAAAACAACAATTCCATCTTCCACCCTGCCTGATTTTTAAAAAAAAATTAGCACTTGGTGTACACCACCTCCCCCTCCGCCCCGCCCCGAGTACACTCCACTATGCAACCTTCATTCTGGACTTTTGTGATAACCCAATCTGTAAGTGTTCATTAAAATTAATAAAATAAAATTTTTTTAAAAAGTGACCATTTTTTTTTTAAAAAAGGACTTGATATTTCTTTGCTTGCTTTTTTTATATCATTTTATTCTCCCACTAGCACGACAGCAAGAGCTTTGATTGCTTTTCATTACTTTACCTGTACACCTGAATAACACATGATACTTTGTTGTGGTTGTTCTGGTTGTTATGTGCCATCAAGTCAGAACTGACTCATAACAGACTCTCCAGTGGAATTTCGGTGGAGGCTGTAAGTCACACAGGAGGAAATTGCCTGTCTTTCTCATGCAGAGCAGATGATGACGGTGAACAACCATGTGCCTTTGGGTTAGCATCAAAACTTTTCACCAAACCAGGCCCCCAGTGCTCAATAGATATTAGGTAAATAAGTGAATAAATATTAGAGGAATTGGTTTATCCAGGAGCTTTGGAAAAACTTTCCAGAGGAAGAAATCTGAGCTGAGAGCTAAAGAAAAATTGTCATTAGTTTGGTGGAGAAAGAATAAAATGAGACAAGAATACAAGCTTGTGAATTCTGAAAGGGCAGTGTTGCTTTTGCTACCATATCTCCATTGTCTGTTACATATTTGGGTCTTAGTAGATGTTTCTTGTATGAGTGAAAAAGTGTCTCTGGAGAAAGGAACAAGATGTGCACAAGCCTCTAAGGTGAGAGACCCTGCTGGTTTCTAAGAAGGAAGATAAAACCAGTATAACCAGTACAGAGAATAAGGAATTCTATTTATCAAGACAAGTAGGACCACATCATGAGAGCCCTTTCCGAACTGAGTAGAACAAATAGTAAAATCAGTATTTTCTTCACAGTTTACATTGCTTTGCCTTTCTTTTCTTTTTCTTTTTACAATATAGTAACATTAAGGCCTAAGTAAATATGTTCAGGATTGATAGGACCTACATTAGTGCTTTTACTGAAATTCAGATTTGCAAGCTACCACATCAGTGGGTAACCTTGACTATCCTAATTTTAAATCTAAGAAATGTATCAGTCATATTTGGCAGTGTTATTTATTGTTAACTTTGGTTTATAGGTGTTAGCTTTCATCTTGATAATGTTAAGACAACCAAAAGTAAGTTAGTTAGTTAGTTAGTTGTAGGAGCTGCAGAAACGCAAATTATAATTAACTCAGAATGAATTAAGTATTTATTTCTTTGCTTAGTTCTAGGCCATTAACTAATATGCCTATTCTTCAAAGTAGTTTCTACTAAATGTAAAAGCACTGCGTAAAATATAAAAATACAAATACTTTGTGTAAGTATGTATCTATATGCATATATACATGTATGTATATGTGTGTATAAAAGTGAGGAAAGATGGAGTTGCTTTCATAGTCAAAAAAGAAATTTCTAGGTCCATCTTGAAGTACAACATTGTGAGTGATAGGATTATATTCATACGCTTACAAGGAAGTCCAGTGAACACTACTATGATTCAGATATATGCACCAACAACCAGAGCCAAAGAAGAAGAAATAGATGATTTCTACCAACTCTTACAGGCAGAGCTAGATCGAACATGCAATCAAGATGCATTGATAATAATGGGCAACTGGAACGCAAAAGTTGGGAACAGGGAAGAAGAATCAGTAGTTGGAAAACATGGACTTGGTGACAAATGAA